CCCCTAGCCCCCTGACCCCTGGCCCTGACCCCCAGCCCTGCTCACCTACTCTTGTCTGGTGCTCAGACCTGTGGCCCCCAGTCCGTCTCCCACCGGCCCTCCCCTCCGGAGGCTGGGACCACGTGCAGATAAGGCCTTTCTGACCTCTGCCCTGGGTGATCTCCCTGGTAGTCCACCTGAGGACAAGGAAGCCACACTTCCAGCGGCCTCCCTGCTGGCCGCTTCCACGCCCAGCCCAGCTGTGCTCTGTCGTGGGCAGCCTCCTACGGGGCTCCTTCCCTGGGGGTGGGGTCTGACCTCTGCCCCTGTCGTGGCCTCTCCTGGTGGCCCTTCCCAGCCACTCTGGAGCTTCCCTCTGCCCCGCAGTATGGAGCTGTCTACCCCAGGGCATTTGCCTGTGCCGTGCTCAGGGCCTCCGTCCCTGCCCTCCTCTGCCTCCTGCTCTCCCAGCCTCCAGACCGGCTTGAGGTCTGGTCACCCCAAGCTGGCCAGGGCCCCGTCCCCGTTCCTCACACCGCGGGAATCTCCACAGGTCCTACCCTGACGAGGAGGGTCCCAAACACTGGTCCGACTCCCGCTACGAACACGTCATGAAGTTGCGCCAGGCGGCCCTGAAGGCAGCCCGGGATATGTGGGCCGATTACATCCTGGTCAGTGTCCTTGGTGGTCTGGGGGGAAGTGGCCAAGGGGAAGCTGAGGGTTGACCGGGAGGCCAAGAGTTGGCAGCATGGCTGCAAGTGGCGGGTGACAAGGACAAGCGGGTCAGGGAACCGGGCCGCAGGCCGGACGCTGGGGGCGAGCGGATGTCTGCGCCTGCGCACACGGGGCCCGGCGTCCCGGGCGGGGCGGGGCGCTGGTTCCTTGTTGGTGCCATGGCCAGGTGAGAATCAACCTCTGGGCTCGGGGTGGGTGAGTGATGGGCGGCCAGCTCGGGGCCTCGCAGTGAGGGCCGCGGTGGTCATGGCTGTGTGTACGCCCGGGAGGCCTGGCCCTGGCCAGTGAGCCCCAGCGGCTGCCGTGGGCCGAGGGAGGCCGGGGCGGGGTCCAGGCTGGCGGTGGCGCACGCAGGCGCGCGGGGGTTGCCGGCTGCCCAGTGGGGGTCCGCACATGTGGATCTTGCTCTTTCTGGAACCCTCCACACGTGGGCACTGTGCCCTGCTGCCCTGGGTTTGTCTCTTGTGATCTGGGGTTGGCGTGATCTCCCCTTGTCCCCCAGGAAACCTGCCTGGGACTCGGGAAGCTGCTGGAAACTCGAAGAGTTTTTATAGTTATATTTTGTTTAACTGGGGTTGCTGTAAATGTTATTATGAGAAAGGCCTCGCTACCTTTTCGGAGAAAAAAAGAGCTGTGTCTATTATTGGAAAGAAAAAATTCTTACCTTGGTCAACCCACTGTGGAGCTTCAACTCGCCCCAAACCCACCCCTTCCCAGCTCAGCCAACACTTTATGGCTCTGGTCTGTCTGCTTCCAGCAGGCCCCGCCCCCAGCGGGGCTCCGCCTGCAGGACGGCCCCGCCCCCAACGAGGCTCTGCCTGCAGGACGGCCCCGCCCCCAACGAGGCTCCGCCTGCAGGACGGCCCCGCCCCCAGCGGGGCTCCGCCTGCAGG